CCATGTATGAGAATCTTGTGATGGAGAACAATCGATTAGCTTGCTCTGAATTCGTGGTATTCTCCTCGGGTGAACCGTATCAGCACATGACTCAGCTGAGCACCTTGATCGCAATGACAGAAACGCGCATGCAACATTTCTCCGATTGACCTAGTTCGAAAGTCAATCGCGTTAATTCAGGAAAGATTCGTCGGCATCGATGGCGAGGAGTATCGTGAGAGGAATCCATAGGACTGTGTATCACGGGAAAAATATCGCGATTGTTAATAATTAAAGTAAATTCCATGTACGTTTATTAACTTATTTGCGGCTCTTATCAGTAATCAGCTTTTAACGTGCATTTTATTTGGCCATTTATTTCTTCCTCCTTATCACATAAATTTCGGTCTTCCTGGCATTTAATCTCCTTTTCCCCTAGGTTTCATTAAACCGACTCTCCAAATATGGCTAATCTGCGGACCTTTTTGTGCCCTCGAAGGAGTTAACGCAGCAGTCGAAACCGCGACAACTTAGCTAACGTTAAAAACGTACTACACTCCGGATAGGATTAGCGCGCCCTAATTTATTGACTTCCCGCCTTACTGTCGCGGGAACAAGGGGGCTCGAATCCCTGTGGCTCCGAGTTAACGGCATTTTACAAGAGGGGTGACCCTTCACAGGGGAGCTGCCACGAGTTGAAAGATGCATATTGCATGCTTGTAATCAAGACTGACAAAATATCGTGCATGCAGTATGATCGTTCTAGTGTGAATTGTATGACGTATTATATATTATTATACAGATACATACGAGGGTCGGGAACGAAAATCATCGTGGCGGAATGCACAGATCGAAATGCCGCAGCTATATTTAGAACTACTTTCTTTCCATGTTTTTTTTTCCGAGATGAAGTGAATATTTTGTAATCTATAACGAACATCATTATACTGCGACAGTTTATTGAAAATGATTGATTTACGATGTATCAAAAAACTCGGGGAAGCTCAATATCTAGAAGTCTGATTCTTTAAGCCTGTAATACTTGAAGTATTCAATGTCATAAAAGGGATATACAAATGACTCCGCAATATTTCAATTGACAAGGGAATATTGCGGATAAATATAAACAAGAAAAATAATTGAGTATTTATTGACTATTTCAAACTTTATTGCCTGTATAGTTTACAGGCTTGTTGATGCTGAAGATATTAATCAAAATAAAATTCACGATCATTTTCATCCGTACATAATTAATCCTTATTTCTTTTCGATATGCGCTTAAAAAAATGATATTTCTTTTATTTTATATAATAATAGATGCACATAAAACGTATATCCTTTAGAGAAAATTCATTTTATGCATTTTTACACTAATCTGATTTTCAATTGATTGGTTTAATTCATAGAATAATCTTTTTTGTTTTATATTAAATACATTAAAAAATTATTTTTTAATAATAATTGAAGTTGTTACAGTTAACATTTTTCTGTTATGATTTCCAATTAAATATTAAAAAATTAGAGATTGCATGAAAAATTAATCTGATATACTATTTGTAACATGAAATTGTATGAAAAATGTTTTCGTACAATTTTTTAAATTTAAAATTCAATTTGTTATTATGAAAATGAACCTTGTATATATTGCATTAATAAATAGAATTATTCGTTTACCGTTCAACAATAATTATTCAATAAATATGATTTTATTGTAAGATAATATATATGATACCTAATTAAACAAATAAAAATAAAGAAATGTCGTGTTCATTATTGTTTGATTGGACAGTTCCTATTTATACCAAGTATTAAACTATGTAGCATGACGTGACTTACGTACAAGAGGCGTAGAAGTTTGCATTCCGTCCAATTCTCCTCAACGAGGCAATAACGGACGTCTTGAAAATCTCCCGTCCTTCTGCGCGTCCTCCTATCGCAGATCCCCCTAATTAAGAACACCAGTCGCGAGTGTTGGAGAAGGGAATCCAACGATGATCCTCATGTTCAAAGCCTAAATGTCTCTTTCTCACGTTCCTAAAATCAAATTTCCCGTTCTATTAGCATCTATATAATGCATGAAAGAAGTATTAAAATACATGTAATATTATTCAGAAAATTGAAATATATCTAATGGAATATATATCTTACAATTATTCATAAATGGTCTTACATAAAATCTTAACAAAGCCTTATATAAACGTATAAATCGCAATAGAAAAATGCTAATAAAAGAGAATGACTGTTTAAAATAAAATTAATTATCAAACTTATTAATATAAAATATTTTTTGGTATCTCATACCAATATCTTGCAAACTTTTTCGTAAGTATTTAAAATATATATGTAATGACGCATGTAATGACGCACGTAATGGCGCATTGCTAAAATTTCATTGTTACTTATTTTTCCAACTGGAAAATGTAAAGCTTTTTGTAATAATGTTTATTAAATGCATGTAATTATAAAAAGAAATTTCCATACGCAATCATAAAAGGAAATTTCCACATTATCTTAAATGTTGTTTCAAAAAACATATAAAAATATACATATGTACAAAATTAAATTGCTTTTAATATTTTTTCATGCTATATTCTATAAATCTCTAAGTTTAACAAAGTTATTGAGTAATAAATATTTCACACAAGATGTTAAATTAAATAACAAGATTTTGTAAAAATATTCTCTCGTCCATTCGTTGTGAAATTTTAAAGTAAACGAAATGTAACATTAATTATTAGTGTTGCCACCTAGCAGTAGTGCAATACAACCAAAATGTGGCAAAATCGAATAACCGATCGATAATACAATTTCAGATGAACAATTATCAGTAACGTCGCTATTAGTAAGTGCATAATTAATTAAAATACATTAAACATTCACAGAAAAACCGTGAAACATATGTAAAACATAATTGTTTTTATTCAAATTAGTCTGCGTAAAATAAACGAGAGAGTACATTGGAAGAAAATTTATATATGTATATACAATACATAAAATTGAAAGAATTTTAGAAGCTATATCTTTTTTACATTGCTTGTTAAAGTTAAAAATGCAAGTGCGAAATTACCAACAACAATTTGAAAATAACGAAGATATTTTAGAATTCACATACATGAAAAATTCTGAGCAAAAAAATGTAAACTTTTTTGTAAACTTGATATTTCTGAGCGTTCCAATTGGTATAAAAATTCTGAGAAACATTTTCATCAGGATGCAGAACAATGTCATGTTGTATACCTTGTCCATATGCGATGCTGTGCATTAATCGCGGTTTCGCTGCATATTGGCATAAAAGTAAGTGTTCAAATAAGATATATAAAGAGAGCTTCGATTTCGGACACAGAATGCAACGTCAATGCTCAAATATCGATATTGGCGATGTCGACGATGGCACACGATGGTACTGACGATAGGGTATTTAGTGCATGTTTTCTCTCTTTCTCTTTCTCTCTCTCTCTCCTTCTTCTTCTTTTTCTTCTTCTTCTGGATCCCCAGTGGATTTCTGCTCTACTATGGCAGATCACAATATCACATTTAGTGCGTTGCGAGAACTTTACGAGACTGATACGTATCCACACAGCACAGTTCTCCAAGGGATTGTTCTAAGGACTTCCTCAGGATGCTCTCGGAAAGAACTGTGTTGTGTGGGTCCCCTAATTTTGTAAAGCACATAATGCGTATCATTTTATCCTTGTTGTTCATCGAATGTCGAATAAGAATAAAATGATACATCACGCACATTATGCGTTTTACGAAACACAGGTCTTTACAAGAGACGTTCGACCCTCAACGCTCGCGATTATACACAAGTAAAATTCACTTTTCGACAGCAGTAATCGTGAAAAATATGCGACGAAGAGATGCGATATATTTCGATAAATATTGAAAATGTTTAAACAATGAATTATGTTGCAATAGACGAAATCGATGCAATCAATGTTTAAAACAACGAAAGGTACATACCTGTAGATGTGATCGCGCAGGCAATCTTACTTTCGCGTTTTGCAACAAAGAAATAATTTTGGCGCAATATGGCCGACGAAACTTTCGACCGATTCTCCAGGCCGGAATCACAAAACCGCGATATCAGCGTATAATAACGAATATACGTAATATTCAATGCGTTACAGTGAACTGATGCTCTGCGACAGAAATTCGCGATATTCTTTCGCAGCAGGATTTACTTTTAAGTAAATAATAATCGTGAAAAATACGAAGCGATTCGAACTGGGTTTCGCCGCGTTCCGCAATGGATCGATCACGATGCACGCAACATCTATCGAGGACGTTGCGAAGTAACGAGATTGCCTATCATCGGTCAAATTACGATTAAAATAAAAAAATCGCTAAAATATCAGAAATTGATTGCGTTCAGCGGAGAAAGCAGTTTTGCAACTGTTGTAAAATTCTTTAATATAATTAATCTTGCCATTAATTCCTTACTGGATCTAAATGTCTAATATATATCAAGGGGATCCTGAAGCGCTCTGTATTACCGATTAAATCGTAATTTTTGTATAACAAATACTTTTTTTCTTTCACAGATTCTCGAAAATCCTTTTCCAGGATTAAAGTATACACATTAATACGTATTTGTGAGGTGGAGTTTATGCCGAGAACGACAAAAAATTTCGAAATTGAAATCTTAAGAAAAACTTTTTATCGACAGTAATATAGACGGTTACAAAGCTGTTAAACACAGTCAGTTTGTATTGATCGCCGGTTAATAACTCACCTAATCTTATTAATTTAATCACGTTGCTTGAAATCTCCTAAAATTTTGCACTTTAAACGAGATAAATATATATTCGGGCTTAAAAAAGAAAGAAAACGAAGATACTGAGTGTAAAAAGTGCAAGTAACGCGAACAGGGGCTCTATTCTTGAAAAGAAACGTATACGAAAAACTAGGAAAATACTATAGTATACGTAACGTATACTGTAATATTTCCCTAGACTTTCGTATACGTTTCTTTTCAAGAAAAATAAACCCCCAGATCGACTACGTCATCAGACGAGACACCATGTGACTTTCAACCTATGTATAGATATGCATATACCTTTAACTGTGAAGTCAGCTGATTTCGACTGGCTGCTTCTCAGATGCAAATGGAAGAAGAAAATATGGTCAGAGACGAGTATCCAGCACCGGAAGAAATGAAGAAGGAAGGAGATATGGAGGAGACGATGCAAACGGAGGAAACTAATCGCGACGATGTCGACGAGGAAATGAACAATGCCGAGAATGAGGAACATTCCGGTGACATTTGCGAATATCTCGAGAACGATGTGTATCCCGAAGATATATATACAGGTAAACATGTTCTCAAGTAGACCTTTACGAGTAAATATTGAGGATTCAAAAACTAACAACGTAACATGCTGTACGACTTTAGAGAATTTTGTTATACATAATTGTTGATATATATCTAAATATTAATGAACAGATAAATAATTTAAGAAATAAGCACTTAAATAAGCTTTAAATCAAGTTTTCTAACAATAATTGATACCACTGTATAGAATGCTTTTAAAATCAAGTAGAAAAAGAGATAGATATCATTAACATGTTATTTGCAGGCCTAGGTATAAAAGCGTTAGAGGACGAGTTGGATCATTTGCAAACTGCTTTGGATCATTTGGAAAGGAAAAACGACGATATACATGCACAGTTGACCGAACTGTTGCAATCTAATCGTGAAGCAAGGAAACAGTTTCAGGAATCACTACAAGTCGAAGGACAGTAATCAAAGTAATAATTATTCTGTACTTAGAAAATGTTTGCTAATTTGGTGTTGTCGGAAAATACTCCCAAGTATTATTTTTTGATCTTGTAAATGCGTTGTTTTATTTATCTGTAAGAATGAAAAACATTTTATAATCTATCATGATCAATCAAATTATATTTGTTAGTGATTAGGCAAAGAAACTTTAACATTCCTAATGACAAGAATAAAAGAATTGAGTTACTTTATCGTGTAATTATGTATATATGTATACACATATATTTAGAGAGAGAGAGAGAAATGTTAATGCTCTTTTATTTATTACATACATCGATGTTAATTAAATTGCAATTGTATTTTTAAAAAATTCTTGTACATATTATGCAAAATATATTTTTTATTAAATTTGATATTTTATTTGGAGAATAGTGAAACTTACACAATATCTCTTTATTATGTATCATATTGCAATATATATACTATATATATATAACATTATATATATGTACATCTTAACTGTTACTAAGATAAAGTAAAAAAATATTCTTAAAAATGATAAAACATGTTTAGAATATTTCTAACAAATAAAATAATCAGAGAAGATATAAAAATATGTAATGCAATCATATTCGTGTATGTATTCGTATAAAAATTGTTCTGACAGTTCATGTAATGCGCTGAAACGGAAGGGAATATTGAACTAAATAATAAATGCACACGAACAGTTATGTAAATTTTATTTGCATATAAACAAACAGATTTAATATAACTGTCGACAGTAGTAAAAGTATTTTTAATATAATGCTAATTCTAACTACAATCATCGCATACTTAATGCTAATGAATTATTACTTTTTAATACGTTAGATATACAAATCAATAAACTAATATAACAGTGTATTTCATGGATCATGCAGGAATTCTGTGTTATAACATTAATTACTTAAGTAGTTTTAATAGGTGCACATCTCGATGGCTTAACTGTCTCTTGCTGGCCCCTAGTAATTTCTAAACGATATTCTTTTATTCTATACAATATATACACATATTAAGTGCAATTAATAATGATTTATCACAAAGCGCAACACCAAATCACTCATAATTTTCAATTTCTTCACTTACATTTTCCATTAATTTTTTAAAGCATTGTATATACATTGTTATAAATGAAAATGCTCTTCACAATTAATATTTTTCATCAAATACAAACTTCAGTTGAAACAGGCATCCATCTTGCTGAATAGAAAAATATACAAACAACCTCAGCACATAAATCATTTTATTATATTAAATAAATATTCATCACATGCTGAGAGAAGATTCATCATTAAAGATTTATTTGAAAGAAATCTTTAATCTATACTTCTTAAAAAATTCTTAAAATCTTTGATAATAAGATGTAATACTTTTTATTAAAAGAAAATGGTTAACTTTTGATTGTACAGAATTACATAACATTTTATACAGATCTCAAAATGAAATGTATGAACTTTACTTTTGTGGTAAAAGTTTCCTATCTTAACAAAACTATCTAAATCAAAACAAAACACGATAAAGATATCCTAACTCCTGGCTTTCTATGTATTATGCATACTTGTTTAATTCGAGCCGTCTATTGCAAATGTATTGAATAAATGTAAATGATAGTAAAACGGTCATTATATATACGATCAATACGTACAATCAATCAATTTATTGTATACAACGGTTAAAGGGCCAATTGATTGATATATTCTTATCGGATAGATTAACACACTGTTGTACAGAAAAACATTTAAAAAACACTAAAAGATTATTAACTTATTAATAAAGATTCAAGATTAAGACTTCAGTGTTTGAATCTTAATTCAAGATATCCAAATTCTTGTTTTTCTTTTACACGACCGAATATTTTTTTTAATATTTAAATAAATTTTTTTAATATTTAAATCATTTTTTCTCTTTTTCTCATATTAGCTGCCATCAGATTAATTCTGATTTTAAAAGTATTTTACATAAGTTAAGATTTTAATCGCAAAAATATCCACATTATTCGGAGATTTAAAATTATAATCTATTGGAAATTTTCTATTGGATAAAAAACACTGAAATCTTAACTTTCATTATCACTTTTTATCTTTTTACAAACAATTTTTTTACATGCAAATTTATCAGTCTAACGAACTCATTATCTATATATAGAATAGGAAAAGATATTATTCTATTATTTTGTTTTTATGAAGCTTTAAATCTTTTTACATAAAAAATAAGAAAAGAAAATTTTCTATCAGAATATTATATACAAAGTAAGAACAAAAGATTTCCAAATTTCACGTTTAAGTTGCGAAAATTTAGGTAATCATTATCTAATTCTTATATCAAGATTCTTCCATTATTGGTTTCATTATTTATTATATTTCGCAACTTAAGCAATTTAAGTTGTGTTGTCACACAGAAATAATATTTTTACTTTGAGTTTGATAGTAAATTACAAAAAGATTGTAACAGTGCACTTTATATCTTATTCTTCAAATTATCATTTTTATATAAGTAATCAAAAATCAAACACAGAAGTGATTTCTATCAAAAAACTAAAAGAAAGATACATTTAAATAAATTATACTGAATATAATTACAAAATATTATATATAAGAAAAGAATATTGTATATAAAAGTGATTACGTGTGTGTGTATGTGTATATATATATATATATGTTTTATGTATGTTCTTTTGAATTTTCATACTTTCAAAAGTTTATCATTTATTAATTTTTGTCTTTAAACAAAATGACATAATATATAATGATATTACATACATATATATTTACACACATACATATATATATATATACATGTATATTATACATATAAAATTTTATGGTAAGTCTAATGCTATTTGTACAAAGATTTTGCATGGATACTTTAAACGAATTATATAAATTGTGAAATAAATAATCACCCTTATTTCAAAAATTATATGAACATAAAGCGCATTGATAATAACAGCAAATTTGTACGAATGTACTACTTATATTCTATAACTTTTTTTTCGTTTAATCTTTCTATTGTATACATACACACAAAGTATTTATCTGTAACAGATAGTAAAAACATTTTTGTGCAAATGTTTCATTTTTTCATAAATTTTTGTAAATCGTTATGTATTTGTAATGTGAAGTTATACGATCATAATACACACTATTGATGTGAATTTAAAGTTTACTTGTAGGTATGAATGTTGCAAAATTTTAATTACTTGAATCTCTCAAAATTTTTATACTCACACAAATAATTCTTACAATTAGTTCGTTAAAGATTTATAAAATTATAGTGCCTAATGTAAAGTATAATTGAAACTTATATATAAAACATTTACTATGAACTATTTATTATGATAAAATAGAGATTTTACTCACATTTCATTGATACTGTTTCGATTTTTTACTATAAAAAAATAATCGATGAGGATATTTACAGTTGTATTACGGTTGCATTACTTTCTCATGTAATTATAAATATTTCTAATTTATGTTAATAGAAATATAAAAGAAATCACTGTCATAATTTTCATAAATAACTGTCAGATTATTAAATGTTAAATAGAAGTTATTAATTTCAATTTGTTTTCAGAGTTTGTCTAGTGTAAATTCAATGGATTTTATATGTTAAGCACATAAAAACATATGACATCTTTAATATATGACTATCGTTATATGTTAAATCGACAAAATCATACTGATTACGAAATATATACTGAGATTTTTATTCCTTTTAATTTCAATAGTTCTACGTGCTCTCTAATAAGATATCAATATTGTGTTTATATCCTTTCTAAATAAAATCTATTGAAACCAAAGAATTTGATGCAACAGTAATTAATCTGTAATCAATTTATCTGTACGCTTTTGTATGATATTTCTTTGTATATACTCACAGGGTGATCTAGATCAGCCGAAAGAACCGGCACATACGTACTGTTGATGAAAAATTGAATCGAAAAGTCTTCATTTTGCAATTTTCGCAATTTTTTTAGTTGCCCAATAAGTAGAAAGTTTATATCGACACATAAAACAACTTTAAGAGTTCCTTAAGAAATATCTGCGATATTTCAGTATTTTTACATCGATTTTATCCGCTTATTCGGCAATTTTTAGAAATTAATATTTTGTTAACTGTTGTGACTATTGTAAAATGGTAGAGGATTTTTCTGATTCAGTTTTTCATAAACAGTATGTACATGCCGGCTCCTTCGGTTGGTCTGAATTACCCTGTACGTATCTCTTTATAATTTGAATGATTTTTTTAAATTTAATTTATTTTTAAAATTTGAGAATAATTTTAATTTGATCGTAATGTTGCTAATCATAATAAACATAGTAAATGTACTAAATACTATATTAAATTTACTAGATTAAATTTAAAAAAAAAGATCGTAATGTTGCTAATCATAATAAACATGGTAAATATACTAAATATTATATTAAATTTATATGATTAAATTTAAAATAAAATTTCGAAAAAAGAAAACGAAAAAAACTAAAAATGCATTACAAATGAGAGAAAACCTCTTAGTTGATAATGTTTACGAATCCGTATTATTGGCTATCAGATCATCAAGAAGTTTCTTCGAATTCTCATAATTCATAGAATGTGTATAACCATTCATCTGTAAATCTGATAGATTTGAATTATTTCCCATAAACATATCGTCGTTTAATTCTAATGGAGGATTATATGTCATAAATTCAACACCAGTAGATCCATAGACGGAATCTGAAACTATACATTATTGAAATTATTATCTGTACTTCAACTTATTAATTTTATAGAAATAAACTTTCTTCTAAAGTTTCATAATATGATGTAATAAATAAATGTAAAAAGCATCTTACATATTTCTTAAAATAAATTAAATATTTAGAAACACGTATATATGTATATTTTAATAATAATTATATTTAATTATAATTTATTTCTCTCTTTTAAGATTTTTTTATTACACTTGCAACCTTTTCTCAAAATTTTTTAAACACAGAGAAATATAAATTTTATTAAAATAATATTTAAATTTTAGTAATAAAAATTATAAAAACTTACTATTTTCCTCTTTCCCACAATATGGATTTAATTCTGAATTACTTGATAATCCAAACGGATCATCAGTATTAAATACCTATTAAAAAAGAAAAAATATCAATATTAGCATTTTTAGTAAATATCCTTTTTTCTATAAGAATTTTTAATTGTTATTCTTGTAATTTTTTCTTCCTTTCTATTTCTGATATGTAAAAAACTTAATGTTAATATAGCTTTATACTTACGTCAAGAAAAGTATTAGCATCCAAGTTGCAATTTTCACTCAGCAATATTTCACGGAAAGTATCCAAATTATTCTGTGTTGTTTCTACGTGATTGTTTAGTTCTTCCCTATACATAAAATAAAGATAAATTAAAATATAATATTTACGCATTACTTAAGTAAAAAATATTAGATATGAAGAATAAGATAGAGTAAAATGCTCCTATAAAGACTGGAAAATAATAACTTATGCAATAAAATATAATAATTTTCATAAGATGCATAAAAAAAAAGAAATGTAATATTCTTTATATTTTATTATTTTATAAATTCTATAAATATTAATAAATATCGTACAACATAAATTTATTTAAAAAAAACAATCTAAGTTACATTAAAAATTATTTTAAAATATATAAAAAGATAATCTATATTGTAAAAAAAAAATTTATCCGATATAAAATATAAAAAACGATACCCCTCTTTTTGCGAATAATTTCCACTGTACAATTAAATGAAAATTATTATTAGTAAATATTTATATTATTCATGGTCTATGTTGGACTTACGTTGGTTCTAATCTGTAATTAGCTTCAGTCATTCCAGAGGAATTGACACGGCTCACCAATAAATCCTTCAATGAACTTGCGCTTGCTCTGTCATAACTATTATCTTCTTTTTGTGATTGTACTATTTTATTTTCATTGTATTGTTCATTGTTATTTGTCACTAAAATAATTCTTTCGCTATCCATTTGATTGAATCTGTTATTCATGTTAGGATTGCTGTTACTATCTTCTTCATTCTCAATATTATTTTGAATATTACTATTATGGAACATTTCCGAGTTAATTAACACTTCCGGGGTGATTAAATTTTCTAATTTCTCTATTGATGGATTGTTGTCCAAAACTTCCATAGTATCCTCCAAATCAACTGAATCCACATCATTGTCAGCATCTTGAGATTCAATCCTTGCTGCCATCGCTGCGAGTTTAGAACTACGCACAGTCGCTGTAGGTACTGGTTTAGAACCAATGGAGTCATGTTTCAGTAAACTCACATGCTCATCTTCATCAGTAAGTATTTCAAGCATATGCAATTTTTTTCTATAAATAAAATCAATTTACATTTTTATTTTAGATGCTCAGGTTTAAAAAAAATTCTCTTATCTATATAAATTATTAAATACTTAAATATATTACCATATTCCAATAGAATTGTGAAACATAAAAAAAATTGTATGTTACAAGACAGAACATAAAAGATAAAAATTCATGCAATCTATTATACCATTCAAAAGAATATTTTAACACAATAGCTATCAAATAAAGATAATGTTTATCAATATATTAAAAGAAAAAATTAAATATGTAAATGAAAAAACTTTTTTCCTAATAGCAGAAGAATGTTACATCTTTCTTCCTTTCTTTTACCTTATCTTTCTCTTTTAATACATAAATAACAATATATCTTGTATAAGTATATATAAAGATTATAATTTCATTAATTCATTAATAAAATAATTCATTAATGCAAATTCAGAACAAATATTTATGAGGAAAAATTAATAATATGAAGTGACAATATTAGTCATAGTAAAGAAAAAATTCATATCGATATGTATCTAATCTAATTCAAAATGATTTATATGTATGTGTAAACAAATTTAATTAATACAGTTCTTTGTTTTGCGCACGCGCACACACAAACACATAATACAAAACAAAGAACTATAAAAGATTTATTAAAAATTTTTTTTAATATTTTACATGCGCTGTCCCTCCCTCCTTTCTCTCTCTCTCTCTCTCTCTCTCTCTCTCTCTCTCTCTCTCTGTAGAAAATACCGATAAAATTATAAAAATATTTCCTCGCCTCCTCCCCGCTCCTTACTATATACATTTTTTGAAATTATATTTTTACAATACAATTACAAAAATCTAACTTCATGCAAGAAATAGCATACATCAATAGTAATTCTAATATAACAATATAAATACAAGCAATTCTCAGAACACCAACAAACAAAAATTAAGTTAACCTTGTTGATTTGTTTCCGTTTCCCAATGCTGGAATGACAATTTTGACAGGCATCGAGTTTTTCCTCCTAATAATATTTAAATTTGATCAATATGTGAGATTTTTTAAAAATGATATTAAATTTTACTGAACGCAACTGACTAGTAAATAAAAATATTGACTTAAATTTTCATGACTTGGAATATTTGTGTATATTTAATAGATTCTATTATCATAATAACTTTTATTCAATAACTTTTATGACGTAAATCAGATTTCTGATATGTTATACTACTAATTATTTAATAAGATCATTTTTAGTATGAAACTTTTCCTTACTTTCCGTAAATACTTCATAGAAAATTTTGAGACAAAAATTTTCTTAATCAAAATTTTAATATTTAATACTTAGTAATTAAGTTTAAAATAAGATTGCATTGCAATAAATTTTACTTTTATTTGCTTACAAGAATATCGGAATATTTTATGTATTCCTATATTTTTTTTAACAACAATCAATTTCAAATTTTATAAAAAAGAATGTTATGTGTCTACTTTTTCTGCAAATACTGTGTACATTATATATAACGTTCTATTAAGTTAATGTTTGTTTTATCTGTGATAAATTCCTCTAGAAATTAACTTACATGTATAAATACGCTCGTTAAAAATATAATATAAATTAAACTTACTTCTTTTTATCTTTGCAAACACGTTTCCTCTTTGTCTCAATTTTAAGATTCTGAATGATATCTTCAAATGTATATACATTTCTCGAATTTTCCTCATCTGTCAGTATTTCAGTATGTTCTTGTGGACTTTGAACAGTCGAATTTTCATTTTTCAACATGCTAAAATAAATTATTATAATTAATAAGATGATGTTTTTTCTTTATCCACATATTGAGTTTCCTACTCCTTTAACAGGGTTGTTATAAGAGAAAAAAAATTCCTTAACCTTTCCCAGTGTTTTCCATATTTTTTTAATTCTGTGACTTTTACTGGTTTTCTCTGATCGCTAACAACCTTGTTAGAACACTAATTCTAAATAAGCAAGACCAAATTTAAATTATATTTAAAATATGCAATATATATTAAATTTATTCACGTACTCAATGACAATGTAATCTGAATCCACATTAGGTTCCGTATCAACCTCATGAATTATTGGTCCTGTAGGAGACTCTTGCGACTACAATATAAACATTTATTATTATAGTAATTAATTAAAAAATAAACATATAAGTTATACAATAATTACAATATTACCTTAGACAATTTAAATTGTTTATGTAAACGACTTGAATCATTTATCATTAATGGACGTCGTCTTTTAACAGAGATTCCACTCCTCGGTGGTTGTACGAGAGAAACAAGAAATTGAATTAGTCTATCAATAAGTTCTTTCTGATGCAAATGTTTTTGTGTCAACATCGCTAATTCTGTCCACAATGTTGAATTTTCCCTTTTCATTTTCATTACAGTATCATTCATACTATTTTGACGTTCCTTCATTTCTCTTAACTCAGTAAATATCATATTCACTACTTCTGGTTTAAGAGAAGAATGCAGTAAATCTTGATTTTTGTTAGACGTAACCTATAATAATAGAGGACAGATTTAATTCCGTAATAAAAATATTGATGTAACATTTAATCTTTTACAATTTAGATTTCTATTTAAACTTGCATCTTTTGTGAATTTGATTAGAGAAAGACATTTTTTATATACTTCCGATTTTACTTTCTTAAAAGAATTTAAAAGGGGAAAAGAAATTCTTATACAGGGTAGCCGCGAACGTTTCACAGCCGGACTTTGAGATTTTATAGGAAATTTAATCTTGAAGAAAAAGTTTCCTATAAACGTAGGTCAAAAAATGCTTCCTTAAAAAGTGATCGCTCAAAAACTTTTATGTGAAATAACGATTATTTCATACATTTTTATAAATATCAGAGAAACTTTCACTTTTGTACTTTTTGTTAAAAAATGCATACATTTCCTGATATTTGTAAAAATATATAAAATAATCGTGATTTTATAGATTTTTAGGAAATAACTTTTTAAGGAAGCATTTTTCGACCCACATTTTAGGAAACTTTTTGTTCAAAATTAAAATTCCTATAAAATCTCGAAGTCTGGCTGAAACGATCACCCTGTACTTATCATACTACGTTATTACATTGGAGCCTCGTGATAGCAAACTTCAAATTAGCGCACAAAATCCCTTTAATACGCGTTAGATGCATGTGAGTAGCGTGAGTGGGAGTAACAGTTAGTCCCAATAGGGCTCTAAGTTTCATGATTTAGAAGTGGGAACAACCTCATTATTAAGTTGGGAGACCTGAAAAGCGCGCTATTACGAAGCTCCAGTCTTAAATTTTATATGTAATAATTTTTGTAAAAAAATTAAGAATATCATAAATATATAAATATACAAAATCTTTTTACACTATATATGTATTTTTGAAACTTTTCTGAATTAATTTTAATCTTAAGAAAATAGAGAATAAAGAATTACATTATTACACTCTATAAAACATATTTCTTTAATTTAATATACTTACTTTTCTTTTAATGTTATCTACTAAATGAGGATAACCTTTGCAAAAGTACTGATGCGCAAACTCTATTTCATCTTTATCACATTTTAGGCCGCCCAATTCGACAGATACCTTCTTGTGGAATCCATCTAACATGTAAAGAACATTAATAAATATTTTGTTATTGTTATTTTGTTGTATTACCTATGTTTAAAAAAAAGTTTAAAAGTTGCAAACTTACACATATTCAGCTGTCGTATAAAACTGGCCATATTGCCATGTTTGTAGTAATATGGTAATAATTCGCTTGTAAACTGCGATTGATTTTTAATGAAAAAGCTTTTTCCATTCTGAAAAAAGTATTAAACTATGCATTAAAATTCTTATCAAATTATGAGTATACATCATTCATAGGACTATTTTTTGTAGCTGAATTAGTATACACTCGTATTTAAAATGAAATAGATATGTATATGAAGTTTTGCAAAAGCGAGATAAAGTTTTAGTACAGTTCAGTGCAGCGACAAGAAACAGGAAAATTGTATATTACATATAAAAATTGTATATTGTAATTCCTAATATTTTCATTCATAGCGCATAATATTTATTTTCCGAAAATAAGTCCAAAGCAAAGATTTTTTTCATAATGTACAAGAGACTCAATCGATCAGAGTTTTTCCTTTATGAAAGCCTCTGATTATCTTATGCTTTATGTATTATGCGTTATGCAAAGATTTATACTCCAGCCTTAAAGTCCTAAACCTCATTATAATCTCAAAATATCTGCATATTTCTAGGCCATTTTTAAGGGGCTATACCAGTGTGAAACTTTCAAAAAATCGGAATCTTTTTTTTTGTCTTATTCGACAGTTTATACTTTTAAGAATATCCTGTGAAATTTTCAAGGCCGTATCTTTAATACTTTTGGCAGCCTTCTAAAGAGCAACCGCTCGCAGGTATAAACTGCTCCATCTACCTAGAGGAGGAGCGTCGGAGCTGATATGCCGTTATCCGAATCTTTCGTATTGTAAACAGTACATAGGTAAGAAGGGAGGCTAGAAATATGTATACAGGGTGTATATATATACACGCAGAATAACAATGAAAGTTATAACGGCTTGTTGTGGCACTTTGCTCCAAAGCATCTTCACAACGGCATGAACACGATCAAGCTCGCTAATTTCCTTGCTGTCTCAATATTTAATGATGGTTTTTATAGTATTTTAAAAATGCTACAAGTAATGGACGTCATTATCGGTCCTATTGCAAAAGAATATGCCATACAGAGAGATGACAGCCGAATTAATCAGGCGGAGCTACGTCATGAAGCGTCCTCAAAAGAGGGACGAACAGCTCGGAGACAAGCTTTAGCCTCTCAGCAGGCATTATTCGAGGAGGAAGAGGGTCCATTGTATGGGCCAGGTATAGCTGATTAGCAGTTTTTATGGTAAATATAATTTTATCTTGCAAAAATCGTTAGTTTAATCTTTAAACGCGTTTTTCTCGAAATGACATTTTTCAAATTTGCTGCCATCGTAACTCAAAGAGCAATTATCCGATTGACTTCAAATTTGAACTGAGTACTCTTGAATATATTTACTCTACAATGACCTAAGATTTTTTTGATTGGATGAAAATTGACGATTTGGCATTAAAAAAAACGACCATATTTTTGACCAAAAAAAAACTTTTTTTTGATAACTACGCCATTTTGTTAAATTTTGATATTTTTCGAAAATTCTACGTCATTGTATAGGAAATACCTTCTAGTTGAACGACTTTTTTTTTTTTTTTCAGCTACTCATTCGGCCGGAATCGTGGCAGCAGTGGAGGAACTTTTTTTTTGGCGCCTCCGAAGACAGCGCATAAGTCGCTCATTTTTCAATATTTTTTGATAAAAAAATTATGGAATATAGTTTAAATATAGCTTAATATGCTCTTATATTTTTAAAATATTTTATGAAGTATTTTTCTTTTAAAAAATTCCCGAAAATCACCCAAATTTTCAGCGTTCACACTGGTATAGCCCCTTAATTAGAAAAGATTAGAACGCTATACTTAATGCTACCATATATACAATCAAGAGAAATGATATTAAAATCTATGAATCATTTGTAACTACAATTTATTTATGGCTGCAATTTATTTATTGCTGTAGTTCATTCGTCAGTATTTCCAAATTTAGGCTCTTATTCTATAACTCTAATAACAGTATCGACATTGTTATATTATTTGTAGCTTTATTGCCAGGTATAAACCCTAGCATTAACAATAGGTCTATTCTTTCTTCTTTTTCTTTCCTTTTAATTGAAAAGAACAAAAGATGAAAGACTTGTGCAAATTCAATCCCGGAATTCAAAAAATGAATTTTGAAGAAGAATAATGCCTATTGACAATAGGCGGCACGATGGGATGACGACGCGACTTTTGTTAATATTTTTATTGCTCATCTAGGAAAGTCAGAATACTTGACATCGTCTAACTAAAGAAATAACTGTCATTAAGAGTTACAAAAAGTAAGACCTGAAGCTAATATTTCATTTATTATATGAAATTTTTCAAGTAACTAAAAAACAGGGTTGGCATTAGTTTATCCACCACAAAAAAACTTAAGGGAACCTTTTGGGTTTCACCCGCTTAAAAAAAATTTGTAGGTTTTTGGAGGTTTTATTGAAATTTTTTATTAGGGTTTTTAGGATTAAAGGATTAAAAAAAATAATTTTTTTAATCCTTTAATCCTAAAAACCCTAATAAAACCCAATAAAATCTTTAAAAAAGCCAGTGAGCTGAGCTTTTTTTAAAAAGAACCTGGGTTTTTTCCAATCCTGTTGGAAAAGAAAATAAAGAAGTTTTCGAATGATTATAGAAATTCTCTACTGTAACCAATTAACCCTTACTGTACAAGATCGAGTCACTAGTGACCGAGCGATTCCTATTCGTGCAAATTCGTCCGCCCATTTTTTACATATTCTTATAGCTTACCTTGAGAGCTTTCCAAAACACTATAATTAAGTTCATTTTCATTAAATATTTTTCGAATTATAAGGCTTGAAAATTACAATATTACCGGCATTAACATTACACAAGGTGTCCGACTGACGGCTAAAAAATCTCTTGAATGTTATTCAGGATCATGTTGGTGGTTCTGGATAATATTTATCAAGATCAAAGCCATTGGAGGTTGAATCTTTTATTTTCATTTTTATGTAAAAATGAATTTCCATTCGCAAAAATGAAAATAAGAGAAATAATCTCCAATGAAAAAGGACATGATCCTGAACATTCAAGAGATTTTAACCGTCGGTCGGACAACTTGCGTAATGCTATTGCCGACTGTACTGTAATTTTCGAGCCTTATAACTCGAAAAACATACTTAATGAAAAAATATTTTATTATAGTGTTTTGCAGGGTTGGGTAAGTTAACTTTTTTTAAAACTAAGTTAAGTTACAGTTAATAGCTTTGAAAATTTAACTTAATTAAAAAAAATACAAGTACCCATAATGAAATTAATTGAATTAAAAGTTAAGTTAATAAGAAAAAATAATTGAAAAGTTAAAAGTTAAATTTGGTTCGAATAAACAATCAAAAAAAGAAGAAAAAGAAAAAGTTTGACCCTTTTACATAATTTTTAGTATTTTTCCTTTCTCACATCATATTTATTAAAGAATCTGGTTATTTTTGTTCACAAGTAACGATTATACAATACAAAATTACTAAATTATATACTCATTCTCGCATTGTGTCTGAGGATTGACTTAAAAAAAAAGCCAAATTAAAAGTTAATAGTTACTGATAAAACGTAACTAAATTAAGTTAAAAAATTAAAAGTCTAAAATGTAATTAAATTAAGTTAAAATTAATTAACTTTTTAACTTTTTAACTTCACTTTTATCTTTTTAACTTAGCACTCCTGGTGTTTTGAAAAGCTCTCGAGGTAAGCTACAAGAAAATGTAATAAAAATGGGAGGTTCCATTTAAAAAATTCAAAGTAACCTTGCTCTTACTTTGATAACGCTACCCAAGATCAAACCAATGGTACCATTTTATGCTCTCCTCAAAGTCATAAAGCTTTTGTCTGAACATATTAGTCATTTAACACACTTTTAGAGATAATAGCTTATAATATTTTACATGGGCCAGCCTGTGTATTAATTTATATACATATGTCTATTACTTTTATATTTTTATAATGCAAATACTGAGTTGAGATAATATATTTACAGAAGTATAATTAATACGACCTGGACACACCAAATTTTTTCTTCACTATAATCCAGTTGATCATTTTAATCACTTTCAATCTTTCACTTTGAGGTACAATCAGGTATGATCTACTTAATGCTGCAAATGCTATGAAACATTCTTTGAATGACCGATTTAAAAAATTCTTTGATTTTTCAACAAAACATTCACACCGTTAGATGAATCTACCTCATATAACACATGTATATCGTTCTTCGTTATTCATAAAATACCAAAAAAGATTAACTAGAGAGTGTCCACACACATATTAACAACACATACAAAATTAACAAAACTAATACACAGTAAATTTTTCAGCCAACATCGTGATTTGTTTCATTTATTACATTTTAAATTTAAAAAATTCTTTGATTTTTTTATAAAGCATTCACACCGTTAGATGAATCTACCTCAGATAACACAAGTGTATCGTTCTTCATTATTTAGAAAACATCAAAAAAGATTAACTAGAGAGTGTCCACATATTGACGACACATACAAAATTAACAGAACTAATACACAGTAAATTTTTCAGCCAACATTGTGATTTTTGTTTCATTTATTACATCTTAAGCTGATTCTATGAGTCGGTAGCTGATAGTCCTAAGTCTTATCGGTGAATCAGTGGAGTTGGCCAACAGCCAACTTGTACGACTAAGATTACCGATTTTCTTAAGACTGACCAAATTCAACTTTATTCTTTTCCATTAATCGAGCTAAACGACTCGCTGTACAATTAACAACTAGTAGATGCAAAAAATTATAGTCACCTATTTAGGTTAAAACTGATTAAGACTTAAGATTAACTATTGATTCATTGTAGAATCAGTATTAAATTTAAATGTATGTTAATAATAATAAATCTAAAAAATGGTTCTTCCAGAAAGAAGATCTATACTTGTGATTCTCCGATTATATCTTTCGTCTAACTTTACATAACACATTGAAATTTTGTCTTAAAGATCGCAGAGATTAGCTGTAATCTTTCGATAGGAATAATATAAAAATCAAGCGACAATTGGTAGTACACAAGAATTAATAACAACGTGCCTGTTTGAACAAAATGTAACACCAGTATGAGACTTTCTTGGAAAGGAAGTATACCGTAGGGAATCGATGTCGGTTTGGTAATACACGTTTTTATCAATGCGATTATTTTATAGTAATCAATGTGACTGTTGTCAATGCAATTATCGTCGTGGTAATTGTTTTGCGCATTGGTTGTCGGCACGGTGGTTGTCGACGCGACTTTTGTTAATACGATCGTTATTGCTCGCCAACGCGAGCGAAGACCGGGAAGTCATCAGAAATGCGTAACGTTGACGGACACATATTGCTACGTATTACATTTTACGCGGAATAATCCGGCTTGGACTTGCACGAGTAGTTAGGTAAATAACAATATACTCACAGGTGACCAGGAAATAAGGTAGTCGGTTTCCGGATCCTCAACCATCTTCCAAAGCTTGGCAAGGAACGCTGGTACGCTCGCGCCCAAGTCCGATGTCGTGCGCATCTTGGAGTTATGTTGAATCCAGCTCCGTGAAGAAATAACTACTGTAATCGTACTTATTCACACGAAAACTCGCATCTCTACCAACAACCCGAGAACAACAACGATGGCTGATCGACTGACGAATGTTTCTGCTGCACACTGCTAGACTGCTACTCATACTCATCACCATCAGCCAAAAACGGGTAGAGTGGGGAAACAGATGAGAAGGGATACGTGATACTCTGATGATACTCTCATTTCTCATTGGTCGCCGGACGATTGAGTGTGTTCACAAACTATTTCCTGTGTGTACTCATGTATCAGTTTGTCCTTGTTTAACATTCGGAGAGTAACAAGGATAATATTATAGGGTATAGTTATGCTGAATGCAGCTCTAGGTTTCCACTGCTTCGTCATTCTACTTCGTGATTGGACAACAAGCGGAGCTGTAGAATACGTCATAGAGATCTTTAGTCAAGAAGACTAGAACCAGGAGAGTCAACTCGTGCCAATAGCGGTAGTGGGGGTGAGGCAAAAAGTGGCGACGGATAACTTCCCCCACTCTTGCGCTTCATTAGTCCTCTCTGTCGCTCTATATAGTTGTCGCTCTATCGTTCTATAATCGTCACTTTGTCGCTCTTATATCGAACTTTCACACAATGCGCAGTGCCGCTGCATATCGTGTGAATAGCCGCGGACGTTTTTTGACTCACCCCCACCACGCGAGTTGATCCTCCTTAGTTCTAGTCTTCTTGTCTCTAGTCTTCTTGATTATATCTCTCGTTCCGTTCCTAAACCTCTAACATATCGGCCGCATAGATCTGTTTAGATCTTTTAGATCTAAAAATGTGTTTTAAAGTCTATACCGAGTGTAATGGCACTATTTTTAAGAAAAAATTATCAATTTTTGTGTGCTTAACACGTTTACATTTAATTAATAATAAATCTATATCGTTGTTGTTGGTCATTGAAGATGAAGTATCAGAAGAGGAATCAGAAGAAGATTCATTTTTGAACATTTTTTTTTATTAAATTATAGTATTGTAATGTTTCCACATTATAGTGCCCATAAAATACAATATTAATCAATAATCATAAAATTAATATTTTAGATTAAGAAATATACCCCCACTATGTTCAATCAGAAATTTCATCAGTCCATCGACTAAATTAGTCGATGGATCTGATGGATATGCGATAATTCCAACGTTATAAATAAAAACACATTAATGTATTTAATTGATGAATAAAAGAACTCTTTGATGCATTTGCTCTTCATGCGATTGATCAATCGACGAATTAAAAAACTCACCCATATTTGGAAAGCCCCACTTGATTATTATCACGCGAAAGTTTCATTGTACAATAACAGTTTAGCACGAATGATAACCGAGATAATTCTTAATGACACCTCCAGGTATATTCCCTCGATTGCTCTTTACCGCTTAAGACAATAAAAATACTATGCGATAAAGAAGATATTAAATCTTCACACAAAAAGGTTCTTGATAAGTTGAAGAGAGTTGCGATAGAATAGCAGGTGCAAAAAACTTTATTTTTTTCTTTTTCGGCGAGGCTTTTTTATTTCTTTTTTTTTCAATTCCTTGTCTATTGACTTGAAATATTTCTAATAATCACTGTTAAATGAAAATCGACTGAGAAATGTTCAACATAAATAAGCGAAGAAGATCATATTTGATCAAAACGAGTTTTGGTATCTATAATAATATTTTTATGTATATTTAATAATATTTATAGCGACTTTTTTTACTGACGTACTTTTGGTAAATTATAAAAATTTTTCAGTAATCTATTCTTATGCTTATCTTGTTATTATTGAGTAAGTGGGGAAAATTATGTCTAAAAACGACATTCATTCATGGTTCATGATTTGACCTACGTATGTAGGAATGAATGTGTGGAAGTATCACTTGATATTCGCGTATTAACACAAAATTTATCAAAGAGCTCACTCTCTGAGTGAGAGTAGGCAGTACCGACAATGGGGCACACACGATAATAATGTCGCACACACCGATTTTAATTAATTGGTGGCCATCATAATTGCGGAAATTATGCAAATGGATTACTACGCGTTTAATAAAGTTCGATTCCTGTAACTCGAAAATCGATTCGATTACACGTGACATCTCGAATATCGGAGATCATCTTTTCATTTAAGAAAATCATAATTCCTAATAAAATATATATATATATTTTATTATAGTAAAAAAATTAAATACATTATTTTTTTATTATATCATAATATAAAAATCGTTAACTTTACAAAATAAGTTTAGAGAAAGTGAATAAATCATAGATAATTAATTTTGATGAAGTTCTACCGTCTGTATTATATTAAATATATCCGAATGATTCAAAGCGAAATACGGATTGTGGATAGTCAGTTGTGTCAAAAGCAAGTATCATGAATGTATTGTTAACTCAATTAGAAAACGACGTTTGTCATGGGATAACACGGTCTGTAAGAACGTTGCGTTATTAGGTCTTTCGAGTAGAGTCGAGTAAACGAAGATAAATGTGAACTAACGCGGCATAATCACGATATTTGCGATACTTTTGCCTTGAGGATGATATTCATTATTAAACAACATGTCGTACGTGGACAACCTTAATTTGCATCCGTCTTCGTTTGAGATGGCACGATGCCGACCACTCATCCTTATTAATCCGGTTGTACAGGACGTGATCTCATTTTTGAAAACAGCGCAGACTTAATTCCCCGTAGTCTTGTTTAGCTTGTTTGCGAAATATTTTACTGCCACGTAGGATCATGTGGGACGATCCCGTCAGATTTGGGACATTTGTTCTATGTCAAAAGTTCACAATGGACACGTGGTATATGGATATCTTTCAATCACTGACGAATAATTTAATGTTCGTTATTCGTCCAAGAGACAATTACAATTATCGAATGGGCGAAATATGATCGTAAACTAGTAATGATTTCGGCAATATAATCATCGTATGAAAGCAGACATTTAGGTTTAAGTTTCAACGATACTGTTATAAATTTGTAACAAAATATAATAGTGTATATTCGATGAAATTGCAACCTTCTTCTATTATTAATTTGCCTTTTCTTCGTATATTTCCCTAGTTATTGTCTCAAATAATAAATTGTTACATCTACCGCGCCTGACTTACTTTTTGTGTTATGTTTTAAAAAACCGCAAAAAGAAATGAACTAAATATAGAAGATAATGGTTAATAATTAACATTATTATGTTTTCCATCTCATCAAATTAATAATATGGCACAATAATTTCGAAATGAGCAGCACTTGAAAAAGCTTAATATAAATTCGGTCCTATGCGAATTCATTAAGCTATCATTTAATTAAGTACCATCGAAAGTTAGTCTGATTAGCTACACCGTAAACAGTAACATATAGAATAATTTACATGCAGGACTCAAATGAATTGTAAACAATAATGCATATATTTGGTAACGAATAATTCGACAAATAATCAAATATGACATTAAGATAGACCAAATATTGTCCTTATATTTAGAGATTTTAAGAGAATTTATTTAGACCCGTTTAAATTTTGCATTTGCATTTAAATTTTACATTTTACAGAGGGACAAAAATTTCTCTTTGATATTTAGCCTTATTATAGTAATAGTAAATTTACAATCTACATTTTATTATGGCATAATCGTAAGAAAACTTGATCCTTCTTTTTTTTCTTTAATGATATCCCAGAATATGCTGATAACCGATTTACGATTTTTAATCCACAAATAAAAAGAAAAATATAAAAAATTAATTTTTTCTACCGCTGCATTTTTTATATGATCAGAGTTTTTTCTCCAAAGTCTGCAGACTTCAACATTGGATAAATGTATGTACAGGGGGTTGTTTTTTACGCGCTTGATATATTCACCCCCTTATTATTTCTTTGTGGCGATATCAATTACCAAGGTCGACAGATCGGTGAACGTTCGAATACTCGTTATTTTCGAGGGAACTTTATCCACTGTTTGTGCATGCTAATGGTGGTGGAGTCGCATGCGCTCCACAAAAAATGGTTTTATAAAGCAAAGTGATTTATAAAGCAAAGTATTATATATGTGGAAACTGATACAATTTCGTACGGTTTTCAGGCTTACTCGCGGTATTAAATACCTACGTTTCACGTGGGGGTTATGTCAAGAAGGTTTTCCACAACGCATAAGTCCAATTATATTTTTCTCCTCGCGATGCGATTTCAGCCAATATTGTTTCGCTTTGTAGCGTAATTTATGAGGCTATTATGCTCATTTTCCATCGTCGCGGTGGTTTATTTCTCGCAGAACTCCAGAGAAATAAATTTTTCTCCTGTATTCCGTTTTCGAAAACAACATTTCCTTTCATAAGTGAATTTAATCGTTTCTCAGACGTTTGCGCTCGTGAATAGTAATGAATTTTTTTCTTTTTTTGATACGCTTGGTAACTTATAATTGCGCTTGTACGTGCGGACTTTACTTGCATGACGCATCGCAAATTATTTTGCAACGATTATTATTGTTAAAACAAGAACCGCGGGTTAAAATTTATCGCGTAATATCCCAGGTAGCAAGTTATCTATTTGACGTAATTAATTGGTCATTCTTAACGAATCTGACATCCTATCATCGTAAAAGTGACGTGAATTTGTCATAGCCACATAACGTCATATTAACCAACATCGAAAATACGTCATTATTTTCGTATTATTATTAATGGCATAAATGAATAACGTTATTAATTGATCACTAATAACGTTACCAATACGTAGTCGATTAATCCTTTATCTGACGTCAATAAGTACGACGTTATAAATACGTCATAAATAAATGACGTCATTAATTGATAACGTCATTGTTACACCTTAAATAGATCACATGACGTCAATAATTCAAAATGACTAACTATCGACGTCAAAATGACTACAGTTTGCTATCTGGGATAGATTCGCCTTCAACGAAGGTTTTAGAAATCCTTTGAAATTTAAAAACAATTTTGTGCTGAAAACAAAAGAACATGAGAGACAAGAGAAGCAGAGATCGCAGTTAGCTTTTTCTAAGAACTTTAATGCAAAACTTTCAAAAGTTTGCCACAAACTACCTCTATTTTATTTAAAATTGTCAAAGAATCGAC